ATGGATTTTCTTAAAAATCTTTCCCCTAGGGGTGCCTGGGTGGCTCGTTGGTTGAGCGTCCAACTCTTGGTTTCGCCTGGGGTCATGATCTCAGCGTCGTGGGATCGAGCCTGAGTCTGGCTCTGGGCTCAGTGGGGAGTCCGCTTGAGATTCTCTCCCTCCCTCTCCCCTTGCCCCTTCCCCATGCATATGTGTGCTCTATCTCTCTGTTTCAAATAAATAAATAAATCTTTGGGAAAAAAAATCTTTCCCCAATTCTTTGTTCCTGTATCATTTGGGTTTCTACTGTGTCTGGAATCATGCTAGACTCTGTGGCAGTGAAGGAAGCTGACACAGTCCCTGATAGGTGATTTTACTGTAGGTGGTTATAGACCACACTCTGAGAAACGTTAAGTGCTTGCTTTGGCAGCACATAGACTAAAATTGGAATGGTATAGAGAAGATTAGCATGGCCCCTAGGCAAGGAGAAACATTAAGATGGAGAAAACAGACTTGCAAATGGACAATTACAAGGTCACATGTTAACTGCTGGAACTTGGGGAGGAAACAAGTAATGAACAGGTGTCCAACTTGGTCACAAGCAAGGAGTACAGGAGCACTGTAATGAGAAGGTAAAGCCATCAGGCAAGTTTCGTGGTAGTCTACAGTCTCCTAGGGACACCTGTGGCCCACCTGCCAGTCTTTTCATCATTTTTTAAGTTCTAATAGCTACATAGTCAGTAGTGTCTTCACTATATAGAATAGATGATTGAACTTGATCTTTAGAATTACATCCAAACAAAGGGGAGGAAAAAGGAGTCTCTTATTAATAGAACATGTGGACTGGAATTGGAGCCAGAAAGTTAGTTCTAGGTCTTGGTGATTTCCCTTATAAGGCATGTGTTCTAGGTATTCCACTCTCTTTTCTCTCCAGTTGTCTTTCTTCATTCATTTGTGATGTTTGCTCCTTCCTAGCTTCAGTGTGCAGAATCATACCCACTATTTATTGGGTGATTCTATGTAGTAGGTGCTATGTATGTATATACGGCTGTATATTTCCTGCAATATGTATTATGGGACTCAAGGCTCCTATGACTCCTTATGTCCTTTTTGTTTCAACTACTACTTCTACCTGCTTTTCCTCTTAGTATTTCCTAAAATTTTTGAGAATAAAAATTTGTTTGACACAGCTAATCTTTTTGTCATACTTTGGCATGTGATAGATTGGCTGCCTTCATGTCACATGCCCAGCCTGGTCCAATCAGTTGCCCCCCTGGCAGGCAATAAACTAATGCTGAGCAGGGGTCATTGGTGGGGCAATTTCACTTATATGGGCTGGGGACATTAAGGAGTAGTAGTTTATCAACCAAAAAGCTTTTCCTGGTCTATCACATACCAAGGTACATGTGTGAACATTCTGACACCAGACTAATAGCTCAGAGCTTGCCATTTGGTGTTTAAAGACCTAGGTTTGCATACTGGTACCACCATCTAAAGTTGTATTATCTTGGACAAATGACTTTCTCTGAGACTTTTCTCCATTAGCAACATAGGAGATATTGCATGGCTCCTCCTGGGTAGTGAGAATCTCTTGGTTGTAGACACTGGGATAAATGAATGAGTTACCATCCTGGGGAGCTTTGTTTGCAGCAAGCAGTTCAAAAGATTCCTTTGGTGGGAGGAGGGGGGAGGTCTGTAAAATGCATACTGTGGGACTCAGGCCTCCTTTGCCAATTCCACTTCAGTAAACTTGGGATGGAGCACTAGATTTGCCGTTTAAGAGTGCCTCAAGGCTACAGGTGGTGGTGGACCTGAGAAACATTAGGATGGAGAAAACAAGACTTTCAAATGGATAATCACAATGCTGCTTATTAAATGCTGCCGAGTGGCTTCAATAAGCCTAGAAAGACAGACCAGAGCACAGAGAGCTTGTTTATTTTTTATTTTTTTAAAGATTTTATTTATTTATTTGACAGAGAGAGACACAGCGAGAGAGGGAACACAAGCAGGGGGAGTGGGAGAGGGAGAAGCAGGCTTCCCCCAGAGCAGGGAGCCCGATGCGGGGCTCGATCCCAGGACCCTGGGATCATGACCTGAGCCGAAGGCAGATGCTTAACGACTGAGCCACCCAGGCACCCCAGCTTGTTTATTGTGTTAACTTTATTTCTCTGCGATGGGGCATCAGAAATGATTAGGTTACTCAGTGATAAGTTTAGATTTGACTTTTAGAAAGATGACTTTGGTTTTGGTGTGAAGAACAGAATGATGGGGATAAGAAGGAGTGAATGGAGCCTGGGGAGGAGGCTGTGGTGGTAATGCAGGTCAGCTGTGACGAGGAACTGACAGAAGTGACATCAGCCAATGGGATACAGATGGAGTGCCAAGATGGGCAGGAGACATAGGCAAGGAGCTGGAGTGGAGGCAGCGGGTAAGAAGCCTAGCTTGGAGAGCAGGTGACATCCATCCAGGTATGCAGTCAGATGCAGATTTAGGTGGAGAATGAGGGAAAGCAGTAACGGGTTTTAGGTATCGTTATTAGAGAAGCTAGCTAACAGTTGGAAAAATGGAAATCCAGCTGAAAGGGGAGATTAAGCTCCGTTTAGAAGTTTGTAACACTCTGATGTCTTGATAATTGAAGACATGAGTATACAGGAGAGTTCTCAAAAAGAACCTTGGAGTGAAAAAAGGGGACATAGGACTAGAATTTCAAGAAATAGGACCCCAAGAAATACCAATATACAAAAGATAGGCAAAGAAAGAGAAGCCATTTTGAAGGAGTTTCAGAAGGATGGCTTAGAAATGTGTGACAATTCTGGTGACGGTATCCTTGAAGAATCCAGTACAAAATATTAATAATGCTAACTGCCATTATTTTTGGGGTTTTTTTCTCTACCATTTACCATGTGGACTAAAATGTTTTGTCCCACTGATTGCCATGTACAATAGTTAAAAACAAGTTATAGGATCATTTCTCTGCCAAATGTCAGTTCAACTCTGGGGATAGAAGACAACAGGTAGATTTTTTTTTAATCCTATCATTAATTAAAGCTTCATTTTTACAGCACCTACTTTATGCTTGGTACTGAGCTAAGTGTGGATGATGGAGAGGTGGATTGGTCTCTACCCTCAACAAGCTTACTCTAGTTCTAGCATGTGCGAGTTATGTAAAACAAATATCGCACATACAAAATGATGGTGCAGCAAGAGTCTGATGTCCCTGTCTCAAGGGCAGATAGGGTGAAGAGTGTCACAAAATGAAAACATAGAGCATAGGAGACCACACTGATTGGGAAATTCAGAATAGAGAAATAATCACAAGGAGGGATTGGGCCAGGGAAAGCTTACAAGAGGTGGGTTTTTAATACAATGTAGTCAAAGAAGTACAACAGAAGGTTTTACTATAAAGTGCAAAAGAGCACTAAGTCCAGGTCGTAGTCCTACTACCAGCCCCGCTAGGTATCCCTAGGCAAGCCCCTTCACCTTGTGGGGCATGGCTCTGTTCTTTAGGAAGGTAGGAGCAGCAACCTCACGACCCTTGGAAGGAAGAAGGGCGGCCTCAGCATACCCCTCCCCCACCCCAACCATCCACTTGTTCCAGGTGCTTCCAACGGGAGATTTCTCAGCCTGAGCCAGGAGTAAGCATAGGAAGGTTAACCCGGCCTCCCTGTGCTTCGCAGATGTGTGGGGCCAACTCCCGTTCCGTAGTTTTGCGGGTTTTGTTTTACTTTTGATGGGATCAGATGGTTCATTTCCAAAGAGAGACAGAAAGAACTATGTCGTATTTAAGAACAAGACCCTTGGAATCAGACGTGCTTTAATTCTGGATCTGCCTCTTGTCCCCTGGGTGACCTTCGGCAATTTATTCCACCTCTCTTAGCCTCAGTCTGTTACCTAAAAATTTAGGATAAAGATACGTACCTTATAGGGATGTGGTGGGATTAAAGGCTAATGTATACAACCCCAGAGCACAGTGCCGGGCACACAGTAGCTGGTTAATAAAAGCACCTGTTGGTTCGTCGAGAGATTGTTACTAATAACACCGAAGAGAAGCAAGGGACCCACAAACGGCGGTCCCCTCCTTCCCAAACTCTGCCAGGCAGAAAGCCGGCGTCCCAGGACTTAAAGGGACATTGGATGCAACGTGGAACGGGTGGGATCCCGGAGTCCGTCGCATTGGCGATGGCGGGTGAGAGCTGGGGTGGGTCGCCGTCCCCGGCCACTCGGAGAAGGTCCGAGGGACCCCACCGCCGGCAGGGCTGGTACCCGAGAAGAGAGCCGGCTCTCCGGCCCCCGGCTCCTGGGGGGCCGGTTGAGGCGGGAGCGAGGGAAAGAGAGGAGGGGCGACTGGGGGAATTTCCCCGCCTCTCTCCCTCCTTCCATAAATCACCGCAGCAGCAGCAGCGGCCGCGTCGGGAAGTGCACGGAGCCGGAGTGCAGCGTGGTGGCACCAGACGCCTCCCTTTCCCCCCTCCGCTTGCTTTCTTTCTTTCTCTCAGTTTTTTGTTGTGTGTGTGTGTTTTAAGCCTCCCCCTCTCCCTCCTCGCTGGGGTGGCTGCCCAGCCTCGCCGCTCGGGCGCCGCTCCTCCTCCGCGGGTGCCGCCGCCCGCCTGCGCCGCCTCCGCCTCGCCGCGCCGGGACTCCCGGGAAGCGAAAGCTCCGCGGCTCGCCTCTCCGATTGTCAGCCCCGCGGCCCGCGCGCCGGGTGCGGGCGCCGCCACCCTCCGAGACGCCCGCTGCCCCGCGCCGCGGGGGCCGCGCCGGCGCCGGGGTCCTTGGGAGCGCTCGGGCGGCCGCTTCCTCTCCCGCCCGCCGCCGGAGCCAGGCGATGGTGGCCGCCCGCGCTCCTGCGCTGTAGCCGGGCGCCCCCTAAGTTTGGGAGCCGCCGCGGCGCGCAGAGGCGTCTGTAGAAGGGCAAGAAAGTTTTGCGGGGTGCGCTGAGCGGGCCGTGGGTGCACCTCGCGTTGCTCCCTCCCCGCTTCCCGGCGCCTTGAGCCAGTCGGCGGGGAGTGGGGGGAGGCAGCATGGCCCGCGAGCCGGAGGAGGAGGAGACGGCGGGGGCGGCCGCCCTGGCCCGCGGCTGCCGGGGCTCGTCCGGCCCGGCCGGGGCCCGGGCGCCGCGGCCGCCCCTCTGGCTGCTCTGCCTGGGCGCGTGCTGGCTGCTGGGCGCCGTGGCCGACGCCGACTTCTCCATCCTGGACGAGGCGCAAGTGCTGGCGAGCCAGATGCGGAGGCTGGCGGCCGAGGAACTGGGGGTCGTCACCATGCAGGTAAGTGGCCCCTTTTGCGCCCCCCGAACTTGCCAGGCATCTTGCCTTTCTCCTATGCGCAGAGCCCGGTCCCATTCTCCAGTACAGGTCCTACTGACCACGCACAGACCTCTCTGGTATGTACCGAGCTCCTTTTCCGCCAGACACCTCTGCCCTCTGCAGACATCCCCCCGCCCCCCCCCCCGACTACACACCAACTCCTCTTTCATGTACACAGGTACCTCTCCCTTTCTCCTCCGCAGAGGCTTCTGTCCTTTGCACGGAACCCACTCTGCCCGCCCTCCCCACCCTTCAACAGCTCCTTTATCTCAGCGAGGACTCAGCGGTTTCTTCGAATCCCCTTCCCTAATTTTGCACGTATTTCCCCCCCGCAGTCTTGTTTTCACCCCCCTTACCCCTGCAAACTCCCCTCGTTCTTTGTGTACCCATCCCGGGGCAGACAGCCCCGCCTGGCTTCGACGATTTCCCTCCCCTACCCCACCCCCTTGACCACCTCCCTGTGTCCCCCAGACCGAGGCGCACGGATGGGCGCCGGGAAGGAAAGCACCGCAGCGTGCGCAGCTGCTCCTGGGCCACCTGGGTCCCGGCGGAGAGCGGCCTCGGGAGCGGACTCTGCGCTCCCTTTCCCCGCCAGGGTGTATTGGGGGAGGGGCTGGCCTGGTAGATTCCCCACTCTGGTTCGGTGTGGGGGACTTTTTTTTTTTTTTTTTTATTGCTTTCTGCTATTGCTGTTGTCGTTTACGCACTCTTCGCTGTATGATTTTTGTTTTGTGTGTGCCTTTTTGGGGGAGGAAAAAGGGGAAACAGTGAATAAGGTTTCCATTTCTTCTGTATTGTTTACCATGTTGGCCCTCCCCAATGGAGGAAGAGGCTTACAGAAAGATTGCCCGTGGCTAAGAAGGAATCCTGAAGGTGTTACTAATAACAGTAGTAAAAATTGCTAAACAGCAACCACCTGGAGATTCTACCCTGCCATTATTTTATCTTCTTGCAAGAAAGGCCCAGTCGATTAGGAGAGGTGGAGGTGACCTTAAGAGTCTGGAACCTTTGCTGTAACATTCTTCCGTAAAATAACCTTATTCCCTTATGCATTCTAACAACAATAATGGTGATAAATGTGGTCTTCGAAAGAGCGAAGTTTCCAGGAATGTGCTCTCGGAATAGGTTTCTGATTTCGATTCTACTGTGACCACCCTTCCACCTCCCACCGGGGGAGGTGTTTTGAGTCACTTTGGGATTCAGGTTTCCGACGTCTTCTCCCGCCCCCCGCCCCCCCTTAAAATCTTTCTCCCTAGCAGGCCTCCCCCCTCAACCCTGAGTCTTCTCTCAGGATGATACAATTTTCCCAAAATCACTCCTCCAGACCTTTTCCACTGTAGTGAAAGACATTGGGCTTTTGTTGTTTGTTTTGTTTTTAGTTGAGATTGAGGAGTGGATGGCTTGCTTGAAAGGTAATTCTGTATTTGCAGACACCCGGCCTCGAAGTGCAATAGAGTCTGATATTTCTTCATTTGCATAACAATAGATAAGCTTTCAAGATACATCATTTAGTTGTCCTTTTCTGTGCAGATTTTTCAGGTTCAGGTTCTGTTATCCTTTTCCACATGCATTTTCTGATGATTGTTGACCGAGTTCTTAGGAGTGAAGTGACTTTTAGAGGAAATGGAACTAAAATGTTAGGAAGGAACTAAGATCCCCCCCCCCCCCCACTGGTGAATGTTTCAATTCAAAGCACAATTGTCTTTTGCATAGTGACACCTTTTTAAATAAAGGACGTCTAATATGTTTGAGTTTC